TCATGTAAAAAAAAAAAAATAAAAAAATAAATAAAATAATTAAAAAAACAAAAGAAAAAAGAAACAGTGCTGCCATGAATGACATTGTCCCTGGAAATGTCTCTAACACGGGTGAGTGGATCTGTTGGATAAATTACTAGGATGCGGCTGCGGGCTCAAAGCCTGTCTGATTCTGTCAGGTGCAGTCGGGCTCACATAAGGTGATGTCAGACTTTTTTTTCTGAGGATCATGAGCTGATTTTTATCTTTTTATTTCTTGCATTTGATCACAGTGCTCGCACATACATTCTGTCATAAAGAGAAAAATACTAATGTTTTTTTGAAAGGTTTTTGCTATAGGGCACATGCACTCGCCACACAAACAGAGAGAGACAGAGAGACAGAAAGCGAGAAATCACCCCCCAGAGGGGATGACCATGCCGCAATCCCTTCTCCTCCATTATCCTCTCGGGATCTTGGGCACGCACGCAACACGCGCCCGGCGTGAGTTTTAAGCCACTGGGTCCGGGATGCGAACCATGGTCAACTACGTGGGAGTTCAGCGACATAGCCATTACGCTAACTGCTGGTTCCCAATATTTTAAATTCTTTATCTGACATTTCCACGAGTTCCCTTGTATTGTCTGTGGGGGATGAGGAATTATTCTTTTCTCTTAGGAGAGAGATATTTTCTTGGCTTCTCATATTTCTTGTGTCTGCAGTGGTTTCTGGGCATCTGATGGATTATATGTTTTTTTTGTAGTGTTTGGAGTTCAATCTGAGATTCAGAGGCAGGCAGGAGTCTCTAAGCAGTACCGTTATTGTTCTCTTTGTGCAGCAAATTCCATGGAAATTTGAGGATGACTCTGACCGTGGCTAGATTGGGCGGTGGGGGGGTGGGGGCAGGAATGTGAAGTCTGGGTAGAAAGCCTTTTAGTTGTCCTATTTCCTGAAAGGCCTGTTCCTTACTCTTGACCTCTTTGAAGCTCTTTTAGGCAGGAGTCTCTAAGCAGTACCGTTATTGTTCTCTTTGTGCAGCAAATTCCATGGAAATTTGAGGATGACTCTGACCGTGGCTAGATTGGGCGGTGGGGGGGTGGGGGCAGGAATGTGAAGTCTGGGTAGAAAGCCTTTTAGTTGTCCTATTTCCTGAAAGGCCTGTTCCTTACTCTTGACCTCTTTGAAGCTCTTTTATTTTTTGTGGTACTGGGAAAAGGTGTAACACTGAAACTAGTGCCTTGGGGGAATCGCCGTGTGCCCGGAAGATTGACGCTGGTCTGTCTTACAGTTCTGCCGGGTGTTCTCCATCATATGACAAGGACAACGGTGTTCTCCCGAATTTCAGAGGAATTCCCGTACGTGCGACCCGGGCCGCAGTGCCTCCTGTGAACACAGCTTGCTGCCGTGTGGCACCAGGACCACGTTAGGCACCAGGGCCGCGAGGACGGCATGAACCCACTTGGGGCAAGGGGACAGGGCACACATGCAAGACCTCTGTCTAACAATGCCATCACTGTAATGAAGCAGAGTATAAAACCCAGTGAGAATACCAAAGGCACACCAGTCTCGCATGCGTTTGGGTGCATTTTTGTTTATTTGGGTATATGCTTGTCCCCCATGTCACCCAACTTCTATGTTGTAGTTGAAGTTTTCCAGGTACCTCACTTTCACATTGACTTTAATCAAGCCCTCAAGGCAGACTAGAGTTCTTCCCCCCCGCCACACCCCAAAGAATTATTTCATTTCATTTATATCTTGACTTATTTTAATTTGACCAGAGAGAGAGACAGAGGAAAAGTAAGAAAGCAAGCCATCCAGTCCAGGACTCGAACTGCAGTCAGCCATGTGGGAATCTAGTGCCTTTAACCACCATGCCACCTGCCAGCCCCTAGAGTCCTTCTCTCTCCAGTTTGGAGGATATTCAGTAGAGTGGGTGGGAAGTGCTTGTGCTGGGGGTGGCGGGGAGTCCAGCCTGACGCTAAAGGGCAGCCGTCTCTACAGATCTCAGAACTGAGGAACCACGGCATTCTCCAGGCCCTGACAACAGACGCTAACGGATGGGAGCCAGCTGGTAAGATCCCTGCAGGGCCCTGGACACCAGTAGGACCAAAGCAGACCTTCCCATGGATCTACTTTTCATTGTTAATTTCTCTCGGTCCTTGTTCTACAGAGGTTTATAGATTTATCATTCCTCCAGGAAAATTAGAATCCACACTGGATTAAGAATAAGAGACCTGAGTTCTGATCCTTTTTTTGCTAGTGACTTGCTCCTTCCACTTGCTAATTTGTTATGGAGGAAAGCGCATTCACCAGGTCTGGAATGAGACACTCTGGTTTAAACCCTGCCTCTCTTACCTACCTGACCTTGAGCAAGTTACTTAATCTTTGTATTCGTGTTTGTTTTGTTTTTTAGTTTTGCTATAGGGCACATGTGCTCACCAGAGAGAAAGGGAGGGAAAGTGAGAAATCACCCCCCATGGGTTCCTTTTCCTCCATTCTCCTTTGGGGGTTTTGGACCCACACTCATGATTTTTCAAGCCGCCAGATCCAGGACTCAAACTGTAAAGTCGGCCATGTAGGATCCAGCCACCTTTGCTTCCGCACCACCCATTGGAGGATTACTTAACCTTTGTAACTCTCACTGTCCTCATCTATAAAACAGCAGGTGATGTGGTGAAGGCACTGGACACTCCCACATGACTGACCATGGTTCGAGTCCTGGACCTGGTGGTTTACTTTCTCACTTTCCTTCTCTCTGTGTGTCTTTCTCTGGTCGAATGAGAATAAATGAATGAATAAATAAAATAATTCTTAAAAACAAAACCAGAAATTACACCAGAACCCAAATGATAGGAATTTTGTAAGGATCAAATGAGACCATGTAGATAAAACGATTAGCACACAAAATATAAATCACAGTGAGTGCTCCTTGGTATGGACTGTCATCATTAAATCACTGAAAATGTAATCTCCAGAAATACGAAGAAAAAGAGAGCTAGGCACGGCCATTCATGCCTGTGGTCCCAGCTGGGAGACCCAGGCAGGAGCATCGGGCTGTGGCAACGCTATTAAAAAAACAACAACAATGCAAGAATCAGTAAAGTGCAGTAGGTGGTGACAGGTAGGGAGGCCCTGCTCAGCGGCATCATACTAAGCACTCCTTGCTGCTGTTCACCTCTTCTCTGTGTTCAGCCATTTGTGTTCCTCTTTTCATCTCCCAAGGGTCCGGCATACTGAAAGTGGGCCAGCTGATGCATGGTGGTCAAGGTGATGGGATACCGCATGGCCGACCGGTTTGTTTCCTGGACCAGGCAACTTGAAAATTAACAGACCGGCCTCATGGTCTAGTGGTTAAGGGAGCTGGATTCCACATGGATGACCGCGATTCATATCCCAGCCCAAGTGCATGTACATGCGTGTCCAGACTCCCAATGAGATGGGGAAATTGTAGTGCGACCATGCCCCCACCAGGGGGTGCTTTTCCCCTCTTCCTCTCTTCTGTCTCTCCCTCTCTGTTGGGTCCAAAAAAAAAAAAAAGAGTAGGGCCAGGACATGGCATAGAGGTTAAAGCACTGGATCTCACATGGCCAACTGTGTGGTTCAATTCCCAGACACAGCGTCTTGGACAATCACACGGGGTATGTGTGCGTGCATGCCCCAAATCCTGAGACTAGAATGGAGGAGAAGGGATTGCGGCATGGCCGTCCTCCCTGGGGGGTGATTTCTCATTTTCCCTTGCTCTCTCCCTCTCTCTCTCTGGGGAGTGCATGCGCCCTATAGTACAACTATTGAAAAATAAATAATTGAAGGAAAAAAATGAAATAATAGCCAACATCGATTGAGTCCTTGCCTTATGGCCACATACTGTCCTAAGAAGTTGAAGAGCGGCCTCATTCTCACAACTATCCCATGAGTGGTTACAGAGGATTAAAGAACTTGCCCAAATGTGAAATATGAAGTTTCTTCAGAAAGTTCATAGAATATGCGTATCATGAAAAAACTATTCTTGGGGAACCAGCGGTTAGCGTAATGGCTATGTCGCTGGACTCCCACGTAGTCGACCGTGGTTCGCGTCCCGGACCCGGTGGCTTAAAACTCACGCCGGGCGCGTGTGCGTGCGTGCCCAAGATCCTGGGAGGAGAATGGAGGAGAAGGGATTGCGGCATGACCATCCCCCGTGGGGGGTGATTTCTCGCTTTCTCTCTGTCTGTCTGGCGAGCGCACGCCGCCCTATAGTGAAAAAAAAAAAACAACCTCTCAAAAAAACTATTCATGGATTTAAAAAAAAAATTTGTACCCAAATAAACTTGTACTTTAATTCTCTTTTTCCACAAATTTTCTGAAGTCCCCACGTAAGGCTCATGAGTGGCAGGGATGGGACATTCACAGTTTGGCTCTCAACTGAGCTTTCAGCAACTGTCCTCTGCTGCTTCCCAGTCGCCTTCTCTTCCTCACTATCTGTTCGGGCTTAGCATTGTACTTCCTCTGCAGGCAGATTCCCGAACAGTCTGTTGTCATATCCCCAGCCATGGCTGTGAGGCAGAGAAGAGCTGTCTGACCTACTTTGACCCTTTGACCATTGAGGCTGTAGAGATTGTGAATTTCGGTATCACGTGAAGTCTGTCCATCCTTGATGTTGTTGGTTAGTGTCCTTTACAGCACGTTGGAAAAGCCAGTGACAGAAAATGCCACTTGCAGTTTGAGCCGGAGAGTGACAGCTGTGATTTGGAGCAAAGCACCGTGCGACAACTGCTGAGAGCCTATCCTGCTGCTGGTTTTGGTTTTGGTTTTGGTTTTGGTTTTGGTTTTTCACTTTGCCAAAAGGCATGTATGCTTGCCAGAGAGAGAGAGAGACAGTGAGAATGCCCCCACCCCAGGAAGGATGGCCCTATTATAATCCCTTCTCCATTTCTTAGGATTTTGGTCATGCATGCACGGGTTCCCAGTGTGTTTTTCAAGCTGCTGGGTCCAGGACTTGAACCGTGTACTCAGCCAGCCTTATGAGACCCAGCTGCCTTAACCTCTATGCCACCTGCTGGCCCGTATCCTTCTGCTTTTGTTCTCCACCCCACGCCATTGTACTCGCATTCATTCATTTCTTTATTCTTCAAGCATTTGTCAAGTGCCTACCACGTGATGGCGCTGTGCCTCATGTGTAGGGGACAGCACTGTGATGGGCATGAGCTGTTAGGGTCTCATGGAGGAGTAGCTCCTGATCCAGATCAGTGAGGGCCAAGGAGACATCCGGGGGAGGGCGCTGTCTGAGCTAATGAAGGAGAAGGAGGTGGGACTGCGGGCAGGAGTGCCCGGACCTGCCTCTGCAGCAGAGTGAGAGCAGCCTGGCACAGGCTCGGGGGTGAGAGGGCACAGAGTGTGTGTGGCTCTGCTAGAAAGGCGAGCAGGATCTGGGTTGTGAAGGTACTTCAGTGCTGTGCTGTGGAGTACGGGTTTCATCTTGAGGGTTATGGAGAATCCCTGGGCGGGTTTTAGCAGGTAGGTGACGTCAGAACTGCCCCCCCACCCCCGCTTTTTTTCTTTTTAATTGCCAGAGAGAGATAAATCATGCCCACCCACCCACCACCTCCTCCAATGGTGCGGTCATCTCACGATGCTTTCTCCTCTATTTTTCCATTGGGATTTGGGGCACACCTGCACATGCACCCAGGGTGTTCTTTAAGCTTCTGGGGCCTGGATTCAAACTGCAGTCAGCCATGTGGGAGCTGGCTCCCTTAACCACTAGGCTGTGGAGCCAGCCCTAGATCTGCCCTTTCAAAAGCTCCCTTTGGCAGCTTTTTGAAGAGGGGATTGGAGGGCAACAAGACGCATGGTAGGGGAACCAGCAGTTAGCATAACGGCTATTTTGCTAGACTCCCATGTAGTCGACTGCAGTTCGAGTCCCAGACCCTGGTGGCTTAAACTCACGCCGGGCGCGTGTGCATGCATGCCCAAGATCCCGAGAGAAGAATGGAGGAGAAGGGATTGCGGCGTGGCCATCCTCCCTGGGGGGTGATTTCTCGCTTTCTGTCTCTCTGTCTCTCTCTGTCTTTCTGGTGAGCGCACGCGCTCTATAGCAAAAATCTCTCCAAAAAAAAAAAAGAAAAGACCCATGGCAGGCCCATGTCACAGGGGTATATGATGGTGGTCCAGACATACCTAGAACTCAGAGGATCTCCTTTTCTCACTATTGCAGTCGTGAGTACAGAGGTACTCAGAGCCCAAGAAGAATGGGAAGCCGTGGACACCATCCAGCCAGAGACAGGTAACTGGGAACAATGCCGCATGCATACAGCCCTCCTGCTGGGAAAGGCTGCTCTCCGGGGACTCTGGGATCAGGGGACAGAATTCCTCTGTGTTCTCATTTTAGCTACATGGCATGGGATAAATCCTCCTTTTCCAGATCTAGAGATGATGACATCCTACCTCTAAGGGGAATGGGAATGCACGCCATTGGGAAAGGGCGTCTGGCCCTGCGGGAAGACAGGGAGGACCTTGGGCCGGGTCAGCTTCTGCAGGGGGGTGAGGTTGGGCCGAGGATGACGGCAGGCAGCCTGGGCTCCTGAGTGGAGTTGGTTAGGTCACTCGCTGCACAAGGAAGTCCCTGGGCGTGGGGCTGAAGCCACCTGCCGGGAAGATTTGAAGGCTAGGTGAGAAGTGGCTCATGTCCCTTTCCGAGACGTTTGAGTGGAGCCGTGAGTGTAGAGCTAGGACCTGCACGTAGCCCCAGCCCTCTGAGCTGGAAAGATTTACGGTGAACAGGACCAGCTGCCACATGTGTTACTAACCTGCATGTTAACTCCCCGTGCGTTATAACAGAGTGGGACAGGGGTCCTGTCCAGGGTTTGAGAAGTGGCAAAGCAGAAATGAGGAAAGTCCCTGAACAAACCAGCAGCATACTCCTACGTGGGTACCCACTCCGACAGTGACTTGCCCCTTCACAGGTGGGCGGGATTTGGGGACCACCATGCAGGGCACATCTACCTCACACTCACTGTAGATGGCAGCCTTGCAAGACCCTGAACAGCCTGGTCCCAGGAGAGCCCAGCATAGGGCCAGCCCCGGAAAGAGGGTTGGCTGACGCTGTAGGTGTCTGAGGCTCAGCTAGAAGCCAGTGCTTGCCTGGAGGTGACAGCCAGGCCCACAGTAAATGCCTGCTGACAGAATGACCACCGCTGCGAATCCTAGAGCACTATCTCTTTGCCACAGGGAGCCGGGCCAGCCCAGACCAGCCTGGGCAGCTGATCTCCTTCAGCGAGGCCCTGCAGCACTTCCAGACTGCAGACCTCTCTCATGTCAAGGTATGAGGGGAGGGAGGTTTGGGTCTTAAGGAAAATGCCATTGTTGCAGCAGCCGGGTCTCCATCCCACTAAGCAGGGCACTGGGCAAGTAAGGGGGAGCCGCCCGTTGAGGTTCCAGTCTCACCTGAGATCCTGGAGCACGGGCTTATGGAAGCCAGGGGCCTGTGACTCCAGCAGGTCCCTGGTAACCTCGGTGGGCTGTGCCCAGATGAACCTAATGGCCCTGTCCTTCAGAGACCTGGGGACCTCCCCTCAGGAACAGGAGGTCTAGAGGACCTGGGCCAGGGGGGAAAGCCGCCATCCCCCAGTGAGCCGGAGCTGCCTGGGAGGTTAGGAAAGATGGGGAGAGGGAGGACCAGCAGGTGGTGTAATGGTTATGTCGTTGGACTCCCACATGGCCTACTGTGGTTCACATCCTGGACCCAGTGGCGTGAAACTCATGCCAGGCATGTGTGTGTGCATGTCCAGAATCCTCAGAGGAGACTGGAGGAGAAAGGATTGTGGCATGGTCTCCCCCACAAGGGAGGTGACTTCTTGGTTTCTGTCTCTTTGTCTCTCTGTCGAGTGCATGTGCCCTATAGCAAAAATCTCTCTTAAAAAAATAAAAAAGAAAGATGTCGAGGAGGAAAAAGGAGGAAAGCTTAGGGAACCAACGCTAGGGCTTTCCTGGGACATCATGAGTGGCCACAGTACGTTTAGAGGATGCGATTTCAGATCTTTAACCTAAAACCTGGCTCAGGAGGGAGGAGCAGAAAGAGGAATCGGGTTGGCTTATAGAATCCAGAGTGTCAGAATACGGTAAGACTCGCAGCAGCGGCTGTGCGTGTGAGAAGCCAGCGTGACCCCATTTAAGTGCTGGCTGTGGCTGGAGGCTCCAGCTTCCCCTCAGAGGCATCTGACTCTAGTGAGCTCCCATCAGCTCCCTCCCCACAGACTTTCATCCCGGAACTTGAGAGGCCGCTGGATTTTGTAGTGTGTGACCTTTACAGAGAGAGACACATACAGAGAGAGAGAGAGATGAAGGTAGTTGCAGCCCTGCTGGGAAACCTGGCCTTGTTCTTGTCTGACAGCATGGGGGATTCCCCACAGCTGGGTACGTGCAGCCTCCATGGATGGAATAGATAGTTCTGGAAAAGCATAAAGGACCAAATGACAGAACTACCGGACAATGCCTACGTGTAGGGCCATCTCCTCCTCCTTGCAAAGAAGCTGGGAGTGGAAGGGCCTGTCTCCAGACTTGTGGGTGGGTCTTCACAACTTCTGCACCTCCTTCCCTGCCCAAAGACCAGCCAGTGAGCTGGGGGAACTTCTTCCTGCAAGATTGGGTCTAAGCCTGATGGTAAGTTTGGTAAGGCAGATGAGCCTGCACTCTGCCCATTGCCTGCAACTTCCTCCCCAGGAAAAGATCCAGCCAACTGTCCGAAGAACTGGCCTCGCCGCCCTCCGGCACTGCCTCTTCGGGCCTCCAAAGCTCCACCAGGCCCTTCGGGAAGAAAGGGACTTGGTCCTGACCATCGCTCAGTGTGAGTGCATGGGCACTGCCGCGGGCCAGCGCTGCGTCTGCGGTCAGGCCGAGAGCACCGTCTGCCCTCCCTGCGGCTGAGGCCGGGCCAGGGGTCTTGCATGTACCTTGTTGGCGGGCGAGAGAGGGAGCTGCAAATAGGGTGTTGAGCGCAATCCAGATCTTCCATCTCTGAGAAGCGCCCAGTCCTCCGTGAGGGGCACTCCGGCAGAGCGTGGGTGTGTTTTGGGGCAGGTGGCCTGGACAGCCAAGACCCAACACATGGCCGAGTCCTCCGGACCATCTACAAGAAGTTGACAGGCTCCAAGTTTGACTGCGCCCTTCATGGAGACCACTGGGAGGACCTGGGCTTTCAGGGTAAGAGGGAGCCGTGGCTCTTCCTGTGCTTGCCCCTGATCCCAGGGAGACAGCAAGAAGCCAGATCATCCTCTTCCCTCCAGGCCTGCGCTAGGAGGTGGTGTATCTGGAGGAAAGCACTCCAGAGGAGGCCGTAGCAAATGCAAAGGCCTGAGGTGGAACATGCTTGCTCCGTTTAGAAAATAATAAGCCTAGGCCAGCCTAGGGCCTGGTGGTTAAGGTACTAGCTTCCACATGGCTGACAGCACAGTTTGAGTCCCTGATCCAGCAGCTCGAGAAACGCGTATGTGTGCCCAAAATTCTCACAGGAGGGAGAGATGGAGAAGGGATGACAGTATGACCATTCCCCATGGCTGGTGAGGCTGCTTTCTCACTTTCCTTCTCTTGATATCTCTGGCGAGTGTGCATATCCTCTGACTAATTAAAAAACAAACAAGTAAGTTTGGGACTCGAGTTACGGTTGACTATATGAGAGTCCAGTGATATAACCATTACATCACCTGCTGGTCTCAATATTGATGAAAGTTTTATTATACATTATTTGATTTTTCTAGTGCGACAGTATGTTTGCGACTCTGTAACAACAGAGACAGTATGGTTTTAAATATTTTTGAGAAGATATTTACATGTCAACTACTCAAACTGTTGAAAAGCAAACATCCAGCACACAATTCATACATAATCCTTCTCAATTCAGCCCTGCCTACCAAGTATTCTGTGGTTTACTGTCTACTGTCTGCTAGCAAAGATCGGTCTCTTTTTCTTCCTTCAAAGTCTTTCTCAAGATAACCCTCTGATGTGGTTGCTCTTTTACTGTCTCTACTGATTACAATGCTAGGTTGGAAAGGTCCAGGTTATTTTATGGCATGAATTCTCTTATATGGCTTCTCTAATCCTCTCTGCCAGGCAGAATTGTCTAGGGTGCCAAGCAGGACTGTACTTTTCTTTGAAAATTATATCAGATTTACAGTTATATAGGATAGGATGGCATATTAATTTAAAAGGAAACTCCTGGGGCCAGCAGGTGGTGTGGTTAAGGTACTGGACCCCACGTGGCTGACTGTGCAGTGTAAGTCCCGCACCCAGCCACTTGAAACAAACAAACATATGTGAAGCACATGTGCGTGCATGCCTAAAATCCCAAGAGGAGAATGGAGGAGAAGGGGTTGTGGTGTGACCATCCCCCATGGGGGGCGATTTCTCACTTTCCCTCTCTCACGGATTCTCTCTGGCAAGTGCACAAGCCCTGTAGCTGAAAAAATAAAAGGAAACTTTACGGATCAGACTATAGCGTGGTAGCGAACATGCTGAATCCCACGTGGCTAACTGCGCAGCCTGAGTCCCAGACTTGGCAGCTAGAGAAAACCACCAGGGGAGTACGTGTGTGTGTGCGTGCCCAAACCGCAAGAGGAAAATGGAAGAGAAAGGATTGCAGCTTGGCCAGCTTTCATGCGGTGGGGGTGTCTTACTTTCTCTCCTTCCCTCACTCTTTCTGTCCAGTGGGCACATGTGCTCTATAGCAAATTGAAAAATGACAGAAAAAGTAATTAATTAAAAGGAAACCATGTGCCCGTAATTAACTGGTAGCTTGTTGCCGTGGAAACAGGGCCCGTGTTCTCTGTGGCCTTTGGCTGGAGTAGAGTGGGTACTGGCCACAGTTTTCTGTCCTGCTAGGCTGCCCTTTCCTGGCTCTTTGGCTAGAAATAATAGGCTTTTCTTGTGTTATGGGTTTTGGGGGAGTTTTGAAGAATTTTATTTAACTTTATTTATTTATTTTAATTTAACCAAAGAGGGACAGTATAT